ATCAGTTAGAGACCTTCGCCCAATTTCCAATGCCTTTAATTTCTAACCCAGACCAGGAATTTCAAAGCTCCGCGTATATTTCAAAGTTCAACAGGAAACTTTGCAGTGGATGCTGAGAGGTTTGAAAACGAAAGTCACCAATCAAGAGATATTATTGCATAATCTCTTGCACTAATGACAACACATTCTTCCGACCTTCTCAGGATATACCTGCTGAGAATTCAATTTGATCGTTGTCTTCACATCCATGTGTATTTTGATGGTGTGTTCTAGTAGTCTATAGGCACGGTTCCCACCAACGTACAAGCCAGAGAGATTTAATAATTGTTTAAGGTTAGAAGATTCAGTAATTAACGTCGTAATTTATTTCAGTCGGTAATACATACACTGTATGATTTTACACCAGTGACTAACGGCGTAATTTATTCCAATCGGTATATGTACATACTGAGAGATTTTACGTCGTTAGTTAACGGCTTAAAATCTTACAGTATGTACGCGGACGCAGATTGTGGCGTAAAATCGTACAGTCTATAGACTGTGTTAGCATCATAATACGCCGTTATCTAAATACCGCGTATATAGCACGGAAGTATTTCAAGGCTCTCGCAGATTTATGCCGCGATTATAATTTTATTTTTTATTTACCTAGCTTATTAAACAACCATGACGGAGTGGAAGGAAACTTTGAGTCCATTGACAATCATCTATTTTCTTTTCCTGAGTACCACGATATCGGTCGAGAGTAAACACAAAGCGAAAGTACTCGTGCTTGGAGCAGGTTTGTCAGGCGTGACCGCAGCTAAAACCCTAATAGACAACAACATCACAGATTTCTACGTGATCGAGGGCCGAGAATACATTGGTGGAAGAATTCACGACATCCAGTTTGAAGGTCTAACCATAGAGACTGGTGCAAACTGGCTTCATTTACTGGACGACGAAGATTCGGCACCTCTGACAAAACGGAAGGAAGAAACAAGTATTGGAGGTGTTTGGTGTAATTAATCTGACGTCATCATGAGGTTGGTTGAAACTGGCTTTGTGGAAGGTTAAATTCGCTCCCAGGGCTCTTCATTTTATCATTTCACGGGAGCCGAGAGACTGGTAGTGTGATTTAGGTCAACGTATCATATTTTATACGAGTAAAAAAGAAGTTAACCCGTGGGTATAACTAATTAGTTTGCCGCCAAAGAGGGCAGATAGTACAAAATTTTTCTTTTGAAGCGCACACGTCACAGAAAACGATGAAAAACCCCAAATTTCATCGGAAATTCTTCTGCAGGTCCCAGTTGTTCGAAGGCTGATTAGCGTTAACCCAGGGTTAAAATTTAATTCGGGTTTAATTATTCCTCTGTTCAAAAGCGTTTTCGGTATGATTTTCTCTATTTTTTTTAGAGCATGCAATCGTCAAATCATGGTCGAAAAGAAACAAACTGAATTTTCCTTTGAAACTATCACATCTGAAGTCAGATTTCACACTAACCTTGGGTTGGGTAATCTAACCCCACCTGTAAACAACCCCAACCCTAAATTAACTTAATTTGATTTCTTACAGAGACGAGAACGGCCGAGACATCACAGACTGGGAAATTGTGCGTAGATTTGACGTTGAAGTTGAAAAAAAATTAGAAAATTTCCAGAAAGCCAGAAAAGACAACAACCTACCTGACATTCCAGCGCGGGTTGGCTTACAGTTAATGGGATGGAAAAGTCGTCAACCGATTGAAAAAGTGCTTGAATATTCGAGACTTGACTTTGAGCATGCCAAGCCACCTGAGTTAGTTTCATTTTATCAGCTTTTCAGTCGAGGAAGAGACTTTTTTGTTTCAGACTCAAGAGGATTATGGTCTCTGTATGAAGATCTGTACATACCTTTAGAAAAACATATCTTGCTCCGGGAAACCGTTGAAAAGATATCTTACTTTAGTGACTCGGTGGAGGTTCAAACAAAAAGTAACAAAACTTTTGTAGCGGACTACGTTCTCTGCACATTCAGCTCTGGAGTCTTAGCCAGTGACACTATCACCTTTGACCCTCCTCTCCCAGAGTGGAAGCAAGAGGCAATTTACAAAAACCCCATGTCCGTGTATACGAAAATTTTTTTGAAGTTTCCAAGAAAATTCTGGGATGATCATGAATATATTTTACACGCTTCTAAAACGCGCGGCTATTTCCCTATACTCCAGGATTTGGACAGACCGGGAATGTTGCCAAGTGGGAGGGGAATTTTACTGATTACTGTAACCGGAGATGAAGGAAGAAGGATTGAGAAACAAACAGACGAGGAAACAAAAGCTGAGATTATGACTACATTGAAAAAGATTTATGGAGAGGAAATTCCTAATCCATCAGGTATGTAAACATGTGAGCTTTATTTCCGGCAACAAATGTTTGGGGAATCTCTGAAAACGAAAAACTGTTTTTAAAAACTGAGTAACCACTTTTTTTATGGAGGGTTTTTATTTGTGATTATTTATTACACTTGAGTAAAGCATTATCAATAACAAAGAGGAACTTTAAAAAGTTTTGCTTGCTCTCTTTACCACGCACGCTTCTCCTCTCTGTCTCCGTCTCTCTCCTTCTCAAGAGACCTGAATTGTTGTATTGGCTCAACTGTTACTTGCGTCTACTCGCCTTTTAAATTGTATTGTACTTTCTATTTTGTTTTATCAGCAATATTTTATCATCGCTGGTCCAAAGATGAGTTCGCACAAGGTTCGTATAGTGAACCTGTGGTTGGTACCACCTCACAGGATTTCAAAAACCTCGGGAGAAAACTGGGTCGACTGTATTTCGCGGGAGAAGCGACCAGCGAAGAATGGTACGGGTATTTGCAAGGAGCTTACCTGAGTGGTAAGGAGAAAGCTCAGATTATCGCTGGTAATGTTAATGACGTGCCTCCTCTGACGGATAGCCTACTCGATATTCATGAGGAACTGTAAAGTAATCATAGCTTTAACTATGTTTTAGGCCTATCGTTTTAACTGTCGGTCTTAAAATCTGCGCTTTGAATAATTTTTTTTATACCACCCAGGCTAAGAGCTATTAGAAATTTGAAAAGACGAATGGTGGGGGGAGGGGGTGGTGAGGGGGTAAAAAGCAAATTTCTCGGGGAAGTACGGAGCAAATTTTGCCTGCCCAAAGTAAGAAATTCAAAACCAAAAAGAAATTCATGTAAGGAATATCAAATCAATAGATTTATTGTCACCTTGTATCAAAGAATGATGAATAAAGTTTCTGTAACAACTTAAGTACCGTTTTATTCCGATTTCTGTCTTATAAATTGTCTCGGACTCAGTGGCAAAAAAAAAATTTTAGAGTTAAAAGTGGTATTTTTTATCGAATATTTATAAGTTACACACGTGTTTATATAATTAAGTACATTTTCGACCATTAAACCTTTCGACGGCACACCTAGAACGCCGAACAAGGCTGTTTACAACCGGAACTTTAATGGCTTTATTAGCAATAAGACATTGTTTCTTTAAATCCGATACAAAGCTTCCGTCTGATTGAAAAACGTCGGGAATAAATGTAGCTTCCGTTTTATTGTTTCGCTATATTTTCAGCATTATTTGTGGTCTTCAAGAATTTCAACGATTTTTCTGGAAACATCTGAACTGTTACCAATGATTGGGTGCTAACGGCTCTGGTATTTTGATAAAGGCAGAAAAAACACATTTCAGTTTGAAGTGTGAGTGTTGAAGTATTCCTCTAACAGTTACTTCGTGGTTTTGAAAACCGAAAGTGAAAAAAAGATTGAATAACCCTTTCTCACACGACACAAGGCAAACCATTCTTTGTTGGCGTTTTCGGTCGCTTGCTACACACTCAGAGGGTCTCCTGTAAGCCGTAAAAATCATAAGGGCTATTTTTTTTCCCGATGAATAGAAATTAAAATTAGGCATTGAAATTAATGACTATATGCAAACCTTAACCTTTTAGAGTGGGTTATCATCTGAACGGAAATGACAATTTTAATGACGTCATGCAGAATAAACGATTGCGGCTCCGCATAATTTCGGTTTCATCATCGTGAGAAGTCGGGAATTTCCGAAAGTGAAGTTTTTCACATTCCTTCACTGATGTACTTTCACCGCGAATTTTGAAGAACTTGTCCGAAGACAATATTTATTTTTCCGGCTTCAGTACTTCAAGATTTTTATCGATTTCTCCTTGAATGATTTGTTTGCGAATTGTTAACTCACATCGAATGTTACCAAGACATTTTGATTCTACTCAGAGTCGAGATTGTAAGATCGATCACTCACGCTCTGTTTGGCTAGTCACTTGCAGTCAATCATGATATTTGATACATGATACTGGTCACGACGTCTTCTTCCTTAACTCATCGAAGTTTGGAACTGTGAAGGACTCTGTGCA